GGCAACGCTGAACTGGGCGGAGGCTGTGACACTCGGCGCTGCTGCACTTACTCAGTTTTTGCTGATGTCACCAAGCAGGAGGTTACAGGAAGTTTGGTCACTGCGACCAGGGCTGTGGCCCGTGTTTCCTGTCGAGTCACGACCAGATAAACTCATCAGATTTCAAGAAACAGGAAGTGGGAAGAAATTAGTCAAGTATGTCGAGAAATTTGGTGTTTTCATGCTCACAGATTGTAAAATAAACAGCGCCTCAGATCCACCTGTTTTTTATTTTTAATTTTTATGGTTTGTTAATTTAAAAGTATCTGGATTAAAATGTCATCAACTTTCTGCACACCCCAGCACTTTGTTTGCGTTGTTCGTGTTCTTGAAATACTGAAATGACTCGTCTTTGTTCTTTCCTCCAGCCAACACTTCAGCCTTCTCGCAGGATGGTTTTATTCTGCCTTTGATCACGTCTCTCCTTTCTTCTCCCCTGTGCATCTTTCATCTTCCTCCCTCAGGGTCACCTGAGTGAAGGCTATGGGAAGCTGTGCAGCATCTACCTCAAACTGCTCATCACCAAAATGGAGTTTCACATTAAAGTGAGTTGGCCTGGCCTATAAAACCAAGCACCAGTCTCCCTCACCACTAATTATCTTTGCCTCAGACTCTCCTTTTAGTGCCTCTGTGTGTGTGTGTGTGTGTGTGGGGGGGGGGGGGGGTGTCTAGAAAATTACATTAATGGCCTTTAAAGGTTCTGTATGTAGGACTTTTTACGAGGCATCTGAGCAGAGGCGGTGCTGCGTCTTGCACAGAAAAGTGTGGATCAGTGTTATCTGCTGAAGTCTGCAAGTTAATACTGTGCAGGCTGCCAAGATGCAACTTAAGAACATAACCTCTAATGTGAGTCTTTGGCATATAAACCTTTTAATCCTCTTCTTGTTTCTACATTTGGCTAAACATGTGCTCTACTTGTGCACCGTACTGTAGGGTGATTTATTAACGTTGTGCATTGTTTAAAGTTGGGACACTGTGTAAAATGTAATTTAAACCAAAATGCAGTAATGTGCAAATGTCAGAAATCCATATTTGATTCTCATCTAAACACAGTAAACACATCAAATGTTTAAACTTGAAAAATGTACGATTTTAAAGAAAAAAATTAAAGATGCGTTTGATTTGATGGCAGCAACAAATATCAGACAGATTAGCAATGGGTTCTAAAAGTAAGTGGTGCAGATTGGAAACAACTGGAAGAACATTTACTGGAAGAGCATCTACTAACTATTGGAACGACTCGGTGAAGCGAGTCGTGAAGATGCAGTGCACTCATTATTAGGTGGGATGTTTTTAGGTAGAGGACCTCAGAAATGGGCCTAAATGCTCAACAGATACCCACCGTGGATCCTGATTTGACAGGAATGCTGCTGCTCATCATCATATTTTGTCTCAGGTGGACGTCAGGAAGCCTGAACTTGGTATGTTGAGTTGACAGCCCGGTCCTGTTGTCTTCTGTTTCAGAATCCTCGTTTCCCTGGTAACCTGCAGATGTCAAACAGGCAGCTCGAAGAGGCGGGAGAGAACGACGTGAACAACTTGTGAGTGTTTGCTGCTGCTGCGTTGTTAGATTTTGTGCACATAGGATCAGCCATAACACATTTAACTGATCTGTGGTCACAACTGTAGAATAATTATAAAGTGGGTTAGTTGTAGCTGGCGGCCATGACAGTATGCAGATTTGCTACATGTGTTTACACAAAAATATCGTTGTTTTTTTAACATGGACATATTTTTGTGCACTGCAGTTCTTTTATTTGTGCACGTTAGAAGCATTTTGATTCTGTAGAGTCTTATAAGAAACCACAGGTGCGCTGATGTTCACCTAGCCCTGCTCAGCAGTTTAAGTTGGACCTAATTTTAAGAAGTTATTTCTGCGGTCGTGCTGCACAAAGTTCAGCACAGAGATGGAAACAAACTAAGACATCCTTCTCTGCTCAGGGTCAGAGAGGAAAGAAGCTGACTTCTACATTTACAGATATATTATTAAATAAATCTAAAGCATTGTTTTTTTAACGTAGTGACGGGGACAGATGTGCATAATTCTGGGTATTCATGACTCAGTGAATCAGGAAGGAAACCATCTTGAACTTATTGACTTGAGAGCAATAAAACACATCTACCTATATATCGTTAGATCTACTTTAAAGCTTCAGTTTCTTCTTCAGTCTTAATGGAGTTTAAAAATAATGCTTCATGTCTCCTACGAGCTTTCATTTTATTTTATGTGTTGCAAACATAATTGTCTGTATTTGACAACTGAAACTGGTTTTAAATCCTGCTCCCATCCTCCGCAGCTTCCAGCTGACTGTGGAGATGTTCGACTATCTGGAGTGTGAGCTCAACCTCTTCCTGGGTGGTGAGTTATTCTGGTCCGCTGAGCTTATCTGACCTCACTCACACGGTCAGATTAATGAACTCGCACGCCGTCAGACACAGGAAGTCACCGTCTGACTGATAAAGTGCGCAGAAACAGACGCTGCGACTCGTATGAAGCGCCGGCTGGGTTTGTGCTGTAGCTCCATTTTTTTATTTTTATTTATTAATTTATTTTTTTTAGTCTAGTCGTTTGAGGTTAATGTTTCTCAAAGTGTGGACGGGGTTAAAAATAGGCTGCTGGGATGTGACCAGGAGAAATAAAGGGAAAGCTCTAAGCTCCTAATCATGAAGAATGAGGAGGAAATCACATTCTGCTTTCTATTCATCATGCTGTAATCTATTCATGTCCTCTTTTTTGTAGAGAAATGAATTTACCTGCCAGGATCAAATCTCTGCTTTTGTATTGTGGGCCTTTAATTAGATCTTTTTTTTTCTGCTTCAGTGCCTTACATGATCAAACATGTCAATAAATATGACGCACGAGTGTGCTTACTCCCAAATCTGAAAACTGGTGCCTTCTTATTTCTCTGCTCTACTGTATTTTAAAAGCATCACGTCATGTGGGGATGAAGTGTGTGTGTGTGTGTGCGTGCGTGCGTGCGTGCGTGCGTGCGTGCGTGCGTGTGTGTGTGTGTGTGTGTGTGTGTGTGTGTGGCATGCAGGAAACCACGCCTGCACTGCCTGACTTCAGGGATGAAAGAGGGGCATAATGATGGAGGCAGAGACTGACTCAGACAATCCTGTCAGTGTTCAGGTTTCTGCTCCTTCACTGCGCCGCTTAAAACTCTTTTCCTGTTTTTTATTTTCTTTCTGTATTTTTTTAACTGAGCTGTTTGCTGCTGCTTTCAAACACTTCACTCACTTTAATAGTTTACTGCAGATGTGGCAGCTCAGTTTGAAGCCAATCCAGATTGATGGATTAGATATGTTTTCGATCAGTTGTTTACTGTTTGTTTGTTTATCTCTTCAGTCTTCAACTCCCTCGACATGTCCCGGTCGGTGTCTGTGACGGCCGCGGGTCAGTGTCGTTTGGCTCCTCTGATTCAAGTCATCCTGGACAGCAGCCACCTGTATGATTATACAGTGAAGCTGCTGTTCAAGCTGCACTCCTGTGAGTCACAGACCGACACTCAAACTGATATATCAGATATATACATGGATGAAATGCAAACCTGCTGCTTTGTTTGTTTATAGGTTTTATTAAAGTGTGGAGACTCTTGTTATGTACATTATTTCATATTTCCACTGATACAGACACCAATGTTGGGTCCTCAACAGCCTGCGTTCAGGGCGAAGGGTGGTGTTTTACACCACTTTACTTAACCAAGTCCTGCAGCGATGATGTGTCTGAATTAGGGTTGCACGATATCCGACATGCCGATATATTAAAACTCATTTGGCCAATAACCAATACAGATATTTTCATATCCTTTCCTTTGTCATAACATATTCCTCTTATTTAGGCTTATTTGATACAAAATTTGTGCAACATCTGTAAGAGCTGGTGACAAATATTCAGTAACAGCCATATGATATACATAGCACTTTGACTTATGTTAAATGAAAAGTGTTAAATATTATTTATTAGCATTAGTCACCTGTGATGCTGTCTCACTTGTGGAGGCTTGTTCCAGGTTCCTGCTGCAGTGTGGGATTCTCTGCACTCCTGTGCATGAAGGACAGACTTTCTAAGTTCAAAGTTTTTGTCTATTCATTGTGCCGTAAGACTAATCATGCTAACGGGGCTAACACTTGAAGTCCAAATGTCTGTGGTAAAACTCACCCAAGTGCTATCAGTCGGGAAAATATCTCCGACTGGGGACGATGTAGCGAGGCTCAACGTGGTCCATAAATCTTCGGAATCTGACATCCTCACCAACGAAAAACAAAACTTCCACACTGCCGACATTTTGAATATTCCTCTCCACCGTGGTCAGATCAGGTAGGCGAGCTGGACTTCATCACATTTTGCTGGTGCTGCCAGCATCCTTGTCACTGGGTTTCATACAAAAACAGCATCTTTTATATCGGTGAGTTATTTTGATGCAATGGCCTGATGTCTGATATTTAACTTTAACACTAATATCTGCCGATACCGATGCCATGCCGATAATATCGTGCATCCCTAATCTGAATCCTTCAGATCTGTGACGCTTCAAACCTGAAGCTGTTTCTCATTGTTCTTTTTAATTCTTTTAAAGACCCCCAGACAATTCAAATACCCTCTATTAAAAAGCAGCTTTTGGTTTCTGAGATGTAAACGTTTTAACAAAGTCTTATAGAATATTTGTCCATTTACACATGCAGTGATTATTATTTTTAATCAACGTTTGACAAAGTTCCTGAACTCTGCTCTGTTTTTGTGTTTTCAGGCCTTCCAGCCGACACTCTGCAGGGCCACAGAGATCGCTTCCAGGAGCAGTTTAAGAAGTACGGCGTTCACCTCCAGAAACAGCCAGAACACAGTTCTCTCTGACGCAGACCCACAAAACTGGACCCTTGGGTCCATGTTGATTCAGTTTCAGTGTCAGACATTTCTGCTCCGTCTCTTTCTTCTCTCTGTAATCTCTGATGAATGCACATCTTCTCTTTGTTTCAGGCTAAAGAGTCTTTTCTATCGCTCAAGTAACCTGCAGTATTTCAAGAGGCTGATTCAGATTCCACAGTTGCCTGAGGTGAAAACCGCTCTCTACATATCCCACCTTTAAACCTAAATGGTTCATTTGTTTTATGTTGCCCAACTTATTAATAGCAGCATCTGCGTACAATATATTATGCTATTAAACACTTTTATTCTTTCCAGTTTCTGGGCATTTTGCCTTTATGCATAAATAAAATCATTGCCACGTGTTTAGCTGTTAAAGTCTGCCTCTTTAGTTTAAATCAGAAGTATGAACATAAAAAAATGTAAAGGAGGAAACGCTGCATGAAGTCAGTCATGTCAAGTGACGCAGCAGCAGCAAAGAATCTGAAGGGATCGAAAAGATCAAGCAGACTTGAAAATAGTTTACTGGTCAACCTCGTGCTCCCTGGTTCTTGCAGAACCCTCCAAACTTCCTGCGGGCGTCTGCTCTGTCCGAACACATCAGCCCCGTGGTCGTGATCCCTGCTGAGTCGTCCTCTCCGGAGTCGGAGCACGTGGTGGAGACGGATGACCTGGTGGACACGGACATCCCTCCACTGCCGGTAAGTTGAGTAGCTGTGGCTTCCTGGTGTCGTGTCAGAACGTTAGGAGGAAGGAGATGCAAGGAATCAAGGAAAAACTCGCCTCTAATCAGTTCCTCTGATGTTGTCTGGATTCTTAAGGGATCGTTCTGTGAATATGAACTGACTGGAAGTTGATTTTATGGAAATGGAGAAACAGAAAATCCCTATGCAATAAAATGTTGGAAACTTTGACGGACCTGGAAAATCAAAAAGCTTCAAACTAAAAGTCATAAAACGACAACTACACTTGGCTGAATATCAAGTGATTCAAACCTTTTTTTTATCTTAAATCATCTTTGTTGAAGTGAGGCTTTGTAGAAAGGTTAGGAACAATTAACACTCTAAAGCCCTATTCACACGGGATTAGTTTTACCTAAGGACCAGTGTAATCTCCCCGGCGTCTGCTTTTTGTGTGGCGCATTCGCACGGGATAACCAAAACCTGAGATTTAGCTGAAATTTACAGACATCTTCTGGACATGATGTTGACTCACTGCGTTGTCACGACCGGGCCGGTCCATATAATGTGCCTAATGTGCGGTCTGGGACGGTCTCAGGCTTTGATGTGGTTTTACGGATCAGCACAAAGAAAACTAAAGAAGTTAGTCTACTTGTTGAGGAGGAGGCAGGTCCAACCGGCCGGTTTAAGAGGTAAAAAAAAGCCACGTTAAGCTCAGATGGACATCTGACACTGACCGTGCGTGTGAGCGGCCGGTGGCAGCCGTCACGCCGGATGAAATGGACTGAAGACCTGTCCAGGGTGTCCTCCACCTCTCGCACAGTGATGGCTGGACATGGGCACCAGTGACTCCCGCTACACGAAAAGGAAGAAGCGGGTAAATATATGTATGGATGGGTCAGTTGCACGTGCGCGTCTCCGCACCTCCCGTCATCTGCGGTGAAGGAAGTAGCAGCTCATAAAAGCCAAAACGAAAAAGAAAAATACAAGAAAAATTAAAAAATCTATTAAAAATTCTAAGCGAGCAGCGCCTTAATTTAAAATAGCCTTGTTCTATATTTTTCCAAATGATTTTGCTTAAACAAAAACAAAAAGCGCCTCATTACGTATCGGGTCCTGCTCATTTCTGTCCAAACCACAGAGATGCCTATTCACATTGGATTAGTTTTATCACAGGACCTCTGAGTTCAGCAAAATCTAGTAGGTAATGTGCGGGGAATTTTCACTTTGCAAATTACTGACATGGCAGATTTGAACGGGATTAACAACACACACAATCTCTGTCATTATTACAAATAGCATGTTTTAGGTAAAACGCTAGGTAAAACTAATCCCGTGTGAATAGGGTACCTGGGCCAAGATCAAAGCTGTCTTAATGCTCAACAGTTGTAGCTGCTCAGATGAACACCGTTTTATAAACATTACATCACATCACACTGTTTTAACTATAATTAATTCTGTAGGTTTGTGCTATCAAGAACAACAGCAGCTAGCTGTAACATTTTCAGCAGGAATATGTTTTTGCTAAAATAGCCATATACCCTCGGTTATCGTGGAGATCCGTACCCTGAAGCCCTGCGATAAGTGAAAAACCACGAAGTAGAGATAGCAGTACAAGTAGTAAGTAGTAGTTTATTTTAGTATATATATATATATATATATATATAAAGGCGTTTTAAACCCTTCCCACACACTTGCAATATTCTAAACAATGTTTCTAAACGCTCTTAAAAAGCACAGCATGTCATGATTTCCCTCTCTCTGCCTCCTCTTTGCCACGCCCACTTCTCCACTGCAGAACTGAGATCAACAGAGGAGGGAGGAGGAGGTGCAGGAGGAAGCTTTTTCTGCAGCTGTGCTGCACAAATGTGCAGCAGGTGCTAAATAACTTAAAATAATTTATTAAAAAATAAATAAAAGTGTCATGCGATCGTGCGGCTCATCCATCAATCAGCCAATTGTGCGTCATGTCTAAACACTAAATTAACAGGACTGTGAAAGTTTATAAAACTTTTGCATAAAGCTTTTTGAAATGTTTAATATTAGACTGGTTGGCAGCAACTAACTTTGTCTTGGCCTAGCTCAGTCTAGTGATAAATAAACCCTCATTTCTCCAAACTGGAGTTGTTCAAAGAGCTATCTACAACAGGTAAGATAGTTTTTGTTCATGACCTTTCCAGTGAACCCTAATTTAAAATATACAAACTATTGCTTTGATTTTATTTAGAAACATACACAATAAAATGAACTGTTACCCCAAGTATTAGGTCTGTATGTGTAATTACAATATCTCACAAAAGTTAAGTTATTTTGAGAGGACAGCAAATTTACACTGTTGTTCAAGCACTGACTACTTTACATCTTATCAAAGTCTCATATCTTCAGTGTTGTCCCATGAAATGATATAATAAAATATTTACAAAAATGTGAGGGGTGTACTCACTTTTTAGTGAGATATTGTATCTATAGCTCTAACAAGGTTGAGTCAGGTCCTGGGGATGGATTCTTCTTTGTTGAAGCGTTTCATTTTTTATCCAGAGGACTTCTTCAGTCTGTATCTATAGCTCTGTTGATTTTCACTCTTTAGGCTCCCTCAGAGACCAAGTTTGACGACTTGTTTGGCACTTCAGCTGCTATCGATCCATTTAACTTCAACAGTCAGAACGGCATGCGCAAGGATGACAAGTGAGTTATTTATTTTTAAAATGTGCAGATTTTATTTTAATTTTAAAATCCAACTAAAACTTAAACAAGAGGAGCACTGAGACTGTGCAGAACTCCAGGGCGATCAGTTCTTTGCTCCTGTTGTTACTTTTCAGAAACTTGACCGTGTCGAGGTTAAACACCAGCCAGTAAATTGATTTCACATTTCATGGCTTTTACTATTTTCATCTGTATCCACCAGAGATCATCTGATTGAACAGCTGACGAGGGAGATCCAGGCCCTCAAAGAGGAGCTGGAGTCTTTCAGACTAGAGGTAACCGGAGAAGGAGCAGTATTTCCTAAAGTTATCTTCACAGCATCCAAAGATGAGCTTTTCTGCACGTTGTTTTCTTTGTGTGTCTCCAGAGTGGTCGGCTGTGTCAGGCGCTGAGGGGGCGTGTCAACGAGCTGGAGGCGGAGCTCGCAGAGCAGAGCCACCTGAGGCTGCAGGCTGTGGGTGAGAGCGAGTTCCTGAAGGCAGAGCTGGATGACCTGAGGAGGGTGAGGGAGGACACTGAGAAGGAGCAGCGGAGCCTGACGGAGATCGAAAGTAAGACTTTTTATTTCTGTATTTTTAAAAAATCTTGTTTTCTTCGTCTACAGAGCAGACGAAACATTGTTTGTTGGATGTTTTCTTATTGTTACTGTTAGCTAATGTCAGTTGTAGATTTTTAGAGTAGTCCCTCGTTCATCACGGGCGTTAAATTCCGGACCCCCACCCGCTGCCGCCACAATAAGTGAAGAACTGTGAAGTAGGAACGCTATATTTATTTTAGTATTTATATACTGTATTAAGGCTTTATAAACCCTTCCCACACTTTTGTAATGTTCTAAACTCTTAAACCTGCGTAATTTTCACTATATGCATGTATGTACTGTACAGTACTGCAGAATTTTATATGGGTACTAACCAGCCTTAGTTGGTCCGGTTCTGGTCGGGTTCTGATCGGCTGTCTGCAGCCGTTGAGCACCAAGACGCTGTGAGAGAGCCGAACCTTCAGAGAGCCAGCACCAAACCACACAGTGGTCCCCATCAAGTCCAATTCTGGATGAACAATGTCCAGGTGAGATCCAGAGAAGACACCAGACCTCCAAGCAACACCTCCCCACTGGAGAGGTGTCATGGGTCGGCAAGCAGCACTCAGACTGACCGATGAGGCTGGAAGTCCGGTTCTGATCCAATTCCCGGTCTATTCCTTACAGCTCTCTGTACCCACTGAGTGCAGAAGTCTCTATGAATAAGGACCAAACGTTTTTCCTCCGTTTCAGCAGAAAGCAACTTTGACTTCTGGGTAATATAGTCCTTTTGCGTGGCGATACAGTGTAGGCTTATTGAGAGAAGACTACAAAATGGCGGCACCTGTCAAAGTTTTTTTTTCTTCATTAACTTTTTACTGTACTGCGTCCAGTACCGTCCCGATTACGTGAGTAATATTAAAGTTGACAATCGTGTGTCATGTACAATCTTACTTTGAAAAACCGCAAAAGAGCAAGTCCACAAAAGTCAAACTGCGAAGTTGCAATGGACTACTGTAGTTTATTTTTTAATACACGCTGCGCCCTGAATTATGCTAAGTTTATAACTTGTAATTTTGGAGTGATCTTGTTAGAGTACCTTTTTAAATTACAAGAAAGTTGTGACAAAATAGAAGACGACTCGAGATTTTTTCACAGTATTGTAATTTCTTAAATGTGTTTCAAGGAAAGGCTCAGGCCAACGAGCAGCGCTACACTAAACTGAAGGAGAAGTACACGGAGCTGGTTCAGAGCCATGCAGACCTGCTGAGGAAGGTGAGGAGGACGCATCAAACAACGTCTTGTTCCTCGTCTACGCCATAAAAAACAATCACGCTGTCCACTTGTTGTTTCAATGCTGTTTCAACATTCACACTATCGTTTTCCTGTTTTTTATTTTCCTGTATGATTTTTGCAATCTAACAACTTCTGCGTTCTGTGCCGTTATTGCAGCCTTTCATATCTCAAAACGTTCGGCTCAATCAGGTGATGGGTGCTATGACTTTTAGTTTTTGTAAATTTTATTGTTTTAAAATATGTAACTTTATTAGCAAATATTTCCCCTAAAGAAATACACTGAAATCTCTTCCATCAAAAACATTGTTCTCTTTTAAATCTGCTTACTCGCTCTATTGTTGTCTTCTTACGCCACTTTTAGCTAACATCCTGATACTTTCAGCCTCTAGCTAATGTTCAACTACATTTAGCTTCCAGCTAGCCTTTTGATACTTTGACCTTTTTAACTAGTGTTTTTGGAGCTTTTAGCTTTTTGCTGTATTTAGTGTTCTACTCCTGTTAGCATTTAGCTAGTGTTCTGCTTCTTTACCAACTCCGTTTCAGCTTCTTCAGCAAAGTTCAGCAAAAGCCATTCAGCAGTTTTTACAGTTTTTATACTGAATTTTTCTTTGACAAATACAATTTCATTCCCTTTATATTTTATGAACGGAGGTTCCGAGCACTGTTGTTCTTGTTTCGGTCATGTTTCAGTACGTCTTCATCCCGTGTGCTTTGGTGTGTTATAGAACGCCGAGGTGACCCGGCAGATGACTGTGGCCCGAGCAGCGCAGGATGAAGTGGAGACGGTGAGGCGAGAGATGCAGGAGAAGGTGAAGACGGCAAAGGACGCTGCAGACAGACAGGTTTGAATCAAATACATGTTTTTCACCGGGACTGAGCTTCTGCAGAGAAAAGTAGTTTTATCTGCAAAGTGACTGTAACGACACGCTGTTCTACAGTTTTGTGTTATTCATCCCCTCTTTGTTGTTGTTGGTCAGGAGAGGGAGCAGCTGAAGCAGCTTCAGGAGCTCCAGAGAGAGCTGATGTCCTCTCAGGTGGAGCTGGACTCCCTGAAGACCACCATGGCCTCCTCACAGCAGGTCACTCCTCTCAGCTTTATTACTCCCCTTTGGCAAAACTTCTTAATTTCCACCCGCTGATGCAAGTGAGCACAGGAGGACTAATGATACAAATTTATTTCACTCCACTTAACGGACCTGCATGATTGTAACGAAGTCTAAAAACAACAATCTGCTGTAGAGCCACGTTTCTTTTTACTGATTATTATTGAATCGTCTCATTTAAAAAAAATCTGCTGTTCCCTAATTTCACATTTGATGAACTGATTTCTGTTTTCTGTTGCATTTACTCTTAAAGCAGCGGTGCCCAATATGTCGATGGCGATCGATCAGTCGATCGCAAAGGTATTATGGCTAGATCGCATGGCATTAAAAATAAAATAGACATCAGCCTGTCATCCACCCTCACTATGAAACCTGTCACTTGATTGACAGACAGGGCAGCCAGTCTGAGGCCCTGTTTACACGACGGGAGGTTCGACCGTCCATTTCCACGACAACAGCCCTCCTTCTCTCTGAAACCAAAGGTTTCTGAATCCAGGTGGGCATTTTGGGGGGGACACCCCCCCCCCCACCACCACCACCACCACCATGGAGGTGTAAAATGCTCCACAAGTGTGAAGTTGCACATGCACACTACAGGCAACTGCAGTCCAAAGTTTTTCAGCACTAACATTTATAATAAATGGCAGTGAGCAGTGTTTTTTTTTCTACTCACCCTTTTTCAGCATGTAGGAGCAAAACTAATAAAATCCAGGATCCAAACAGACGTCACTGCATTCACTAGTTTGGACATATTGTGATCATGCAGACGCTGCATGATGAATGCAGCTGAACTCGGCATCAGGGTTGCCAGATATATTAAAAATGTCTTATTTACCTCTCCTTTTCTGTGCACATGTTCAACAAACACAGCACACCTCATCTTGGAATATTGTTACTCAGCGCATATGACAGTTTAGGTCAAAATACTATCATTTTAAAGCCACAGTACTATAGGTCATAATTTTTTATCTGGCAACCCGACTCACATGGAAACTACAGCGTTTTTTTGTGTAAACGCGCCTGTTCTTTGTTTATTGATAAACATTGTAAAAACACTAACATTTCCAGAGGTTGTTCTCGTGTAAACGGGGTCTTGTAGTAGGTAGATCACTTTGACCTGGTCATTTTAAAAGTAACTTGTTTGCTGACAAAGTGTGGGCACCCCTGGTTTAAAAGCTCTCAAAAATTATTGTGATGTCACTTCCTTCTATTCTTTTCCTCCAGTGTTATTTTGTCTTCATCAGTGACGTAGCAACAATTTCAGACGTTCTCCCTTTATATTCTGGTAGTGAGAATTGTCTAGGCTGTAAAATAATTTGTTTATATAATCCTAATTCCCTCAGTTTGTTTTTGTTGTTCCTTCACAAGTGAGAAAAGTTGAACCTGAAGAGGCAAAGCTGATTGTAGCAGGTGTCAGGAGGTATTTCTTTGAGCGAACGGAGTAAGATGAGAACACAGGAGGAAAATGTGTTCTGTAAAGCTGTTTATGTAAACCCTGCTGTTAGGCTCCTATAATCCAGTGTAACTGTGAAGCTTTTTATAACGAGATGCGACGGTGAACAAACAGCTCAGCTGTAAGGTTCGTGATGGACTCACTTGGTTTGATTACTCATTAATTCAAGGTTTTACGCCAATCCCAGCCGTCATTCTTAGGTTCAGATGTTTTTCTACACGCGTTATTCCCTTTATCTCCTTGCAGCTCAGTTTCAACATTAATCACTGTTCAACTTTCTTCTCTTTTGTTCCCTTCTGATTTGAACGATTCTGTTTCTTCATTTTTCCTTTTCTGTCGGACCTGCTGACTGTCAGACAGTAAGTTTTGAAACTTTATTTCAAAGATGCTTCCATTATTTGATCACTTATATTCCTCTTAGTTAAAGGGCTTCAGTAAAAAGGATCTGATGTAGCTGCTCTCTGTTGTAATACCGATGATTGTCGTATTGCAACAAAGTTGCACAATCTCAACTAGTTGACCTAAACCTGTCCACTTGACCTCTGCCCAGATATCTCCGGAGAATCTGTAACTTTCCACCAACTCAGACCAACTAAACCATGTTGTTGCAAAAATCCTCTTAAGATAACGTGTGTGGTTGGAGCGCTCTCATCATACCACATCCTGACATGTCGTAATAGTATACACAAGAATGATACGTGGCTGTCTTTGCTCTGTCTTTGTCCGTTCTTCATCCCGACACTTTTTGTTCTTTGCTGCAGTCGAGTGAAGTCCTCAGCTCTCAGCTGGCCGTCCTCGAGTCTGAGAAAGCCGAGCTGGTGCAGACTTTGTCGAAGGTAGAGGCGGAGCTAGAGGTTCAAGGGGAGGAGCTTCAGCGAGTCCATAGCTCTCTGGCGACTGAAAGGGAAAGTGGGGTGAAGACGGCCGAAGCCCTGCAGAATCAGCTCAACGAGAAGGTCGGGTATTGTCTTCCCTTTCTTCAGTAGCTGAAAAATACACGTGTTCAAGCTCAGCAATATGAAGAGGTGTGTCTGATATAGTCAATGTGTTTGTTTGTCTGCAGGAGAGCAGGGAGCAGGCTCTGGAGAACCAGTTGGTTGCATCTCGCTGGACCAGTCTGCAGGGAGCTGTGGAGGAGGCAGAGAGGATCATCCAGGACTCGTTGGCTCAGATCGACGACCCGGCACACATCAGCTGCACCAGCTCTGCAGGTCAGACACTCATGTTATTTCAGGGCTGGGACTCTTGTCATCTCTGTGTATAATGTCTCTACTTGTGTTACATTTCTGCAGACTACCTTGCATCAAGATGCCAAGCCTCTTTAGACTATATGGAGCGATTACAATGTGCCACAGAGGCCTTTTTAGCTGACAACACAGGTGAGACAAACACCTGAATGTATATCACGCTAAAGAAAGCTTTCATTATGTAGAATTAAAAAGAGGAATGGTTTTGTTTCAAGTTGCTGTGACTGAGCTGGTGCGAGTGGTGGCCCAGTGTGGCCACCTGGTGGGCGACACCATCGTTCAGGGTAGTGCCACATCCCACATGGTGCCTGTGGAGCAAGCCGATGGTGAGTTTGTGTGTGATGGAAATGATGTCACTCGATGTTGATCTGAGCCTGAGGCAGACGTGGTGAACATGCTTGATGTGTTTGTGGAGAGCGGTCTTCATGTACTGCATGTTCAGTTAATCTAACCATCGACAGTCAGACCTCGTGTTTCTGCAGTTTAATGGAGTTCACACTGTTTACAGTGTTGCAGAATATTCTGTAAACCTCTCTGTGTGTGAAAACCACATCCACAACTGTTACACAGAAAGAAATACTCCGATTGGAATATTGAAAATGAGCAAAACATACTTCTAGTAAATTTTCATAAAGTAACTTTTTGAGCTTTAGATTATATAGTTTTTAAGCTTCTTAGCACCACTACAACAAAATGGAGAGTTGCAAAACGTTTTTTTTTTTTTTTCTGGGTTTATTGGAAGTAAAAGTCAAAAAAGCCTTCAAATATTTTGAAGACAACTCTTTATTATTACAAGAGTTGGAGTAGCTCTTTTACAAGAGAACAGTACAGAGAGGCATCAATGCAAAATATTTTCATAGAATTACCGTAATTTCTGGACAATTGAGCACACCTGAATATAATCCACGCCTACCAAATAAATTTTAAAAATTGTACATATATAGGCCCCACTTGTGTATAAGCTACTGGTGTCTACATTGAAACATGAGATATTTACACAAAGATTTTAATTTTTTTTAATTAAATATGTACCAGTAACATACACAGAAAAACGTCATCACACACGTCCTTAGTCTCTCTTTCATTGTCACTCCCTGCAAACTTATAACTTATGATTGTTTTTGTGTTCAGAGTAATCACGTCTTTATAAACTATCTTCACCACAGCCCAATTATGGGGGCTAATTGGGGGAGTGGTGGCGCAGAGGTTAGAAGATGGGCCTGTGATTGGAAAGTCGCAGGTTCAACTCCCGGTACTGTCAACATCAAAATGTGGGTGGAAAAGGTGAAACACCCA